ACAGCCCCGCCGGGTAGAGCCACCGCAAAGCTCTCGCAGTCAGGCCAGCCCACATCAGGAGACGGTCTTGGCGATGCAGGACGGAAACGCTACGCGGGGAGCACCATGTGTCCCAGTCGCCCGCGGACCCCCACCCATCGCAGGCGTAGATCGCCATGAACGCCAGGTACGCTCCAACATCCAGATGACCCTGACCTTCGAGCCCGTGGCCGACGACGAATATGACGGATGGATGGCAGACTGGGAGCACAACGCAGGCCATGTCTGAATGGAGGAGAGGGCGGTCGAAAAACGGCAGAGACGCTGCGCGGGCGCGGCAGGCATCCGCGTCAACGCGCCCCATGGACATCAGGTCTACATGAAGGGCCCGCCCATGACTACGCCGTCAGATGGTAAATTGTCTATCTTGGTAGACACCGGTTCGAACATCAACATCATCAGACATAATACGGCCAAGAACATTGAGGAGAACGCCAGGCGGATCGGCTTCCAAACAGTACGCCGTAGCTTGCTGGATATGCCGCATGTCCCCAGAGGATCCGATCCGACAAAAAGTTGTCAGGATGACATTTCTGTCGGGCCCACCCCTTTCTTTAAGCATTTCCTGAATTCGCTGGCCCGCCTGTGTAAGGATCCCGCAAAAGAAAGCCGGATCCCGAATTCCATCGTTCAATGTATGTATGTTTGTATGTATGTATGTTTGTATGTATATACATATATATATAGATACTTATAATAAATATATGTATATATGTATGTTTACATGCACTCTCAATTGCATATGCATACAAACATATATATATATATATATATATGTGTGTGTACGCATGTATACATACTCATATATACATATGCGTAGCATACATCTATGTGTGTACGCGAGAAGGGGGAGGGATGGAGGCGGGAGAGGGAGGAGAGCGAGGGTGAGGGAGGGAGGGAGGATGAGAGGGAATACGCACGGGAGAGGGTCTGAGGGACAGAGGCAGGGTGGGAGGGAGGGAGGGGGAGATAGAGCAGAGGGAGGGTGAGGGAGGGAGGGCGGGAGGGAGGGTCAGAGGGACGGAGAGCGGGAAGGAAGGTGAGAGGGAGGGAAGGATAGTGGAACTGAATGACGGCGGGAGGGAGCACAATCGACGTGGACGCACGGGGGGCAGCCAGCACCGACATGTTTTCCCCTCGAAGTCAAAGATCCGCCATCGACAGGCGGTACTTGTCAACTAAACTGGTATGGAGCTTAGACACGTGCACGGTCTCAGCCCAATCTGCGCAGTCTCCGATGGTTGATTCATCTGCGTATTCCCAATGGTCCTGAGTTGGGTCTAGGATTCAGGGAGGAAGGGGGTGAGGACACAAATGAGGAGAGGAACGGGACAAATGGGAACGATGCATCCCCCAGATCTCCGCTCCTGGAGCCCCCCAGAGGCCCCTGACCCCATCTTCGATATCGATTTCGCGCCGTGGGCTGTCAGACTGGGCGGTCATATGACAGACTGGGCTGTCAGATGACAGACAAGGCTGTCATATGACAGACTGGGCTGTCATATGACAGACAAGGCTGTCATATGACAGACTGGGCTGTTGTAAAAACACAGCTCAAACGCCCATTCCAGCCGCATGGTTTCTAGCATAACCCCCCCATTTCAATGAACCGTCCGCGGGATTCCCAGGGGAACATTCGTCCGCGAGCTCGAGGAATAGATGATGTTTGGGTTTCAATGTCCAGCAAGCGTCATCCAAGGCGTACCGTCTCATGTTGGCATATAATATCAAATGTCTGCGGGCGTAGTCAACCAACTTCCGTGGGCCAGTGGTCGGGCCCCAAACGTTCCATTCAGCGTAACACTGCGACAGAAGCCGAACACACCGAAGCCGTGCAAGGCCACGCTCTGTCACGCACGGGAGAAGTACCTCCAGCATTCTCACAACCACTGGCACTCCCCTCGGCGGCCTTGACCTTAAGCTTGGGGGACTTTTTTGTCGCGGGTCGGATCACACCGATCGCAAGGCTGCCGAGGGGGGGGCGTCGTGTCGAGCGAACGGGCAGCGCACTCCAGCAGCTTCTCGAGCATGAACAAAGCCTGCAGAATCCCCCATACACCCCGACTCTCCTCGCCCTCTTCCCCCCCCAAACCTCCAATCCTCCACCCGAGAGCCCGATTTGGATTCGAGTGAACGCCTCCCACCGACTTGAACACTTCCCACAGCACGTTACCAATAACCTCTTGTGTAGAGCCCAAGCACCCGACGCGCATTAAACCTGGGCGAATGAACGCCCACGTGAAACCAACAATCGCTAGCGGACCCGTGTCCAATTGTAACTCGCCAGTGCGAAGGCTTTCCAGATACGATTTTGGCGCGCATATGGTTGAACGCCACGACGCGTCTAAGCCGAACCCCCCTAACTGAGCAACAGTACAAGCACATCTGTAACAATCTTTTGCGTCAGGTGGTCCTCCCCTCCACCCTGTCACCCCGAAGACTTGCTTGTACCAGGACCAGTCTCCCCGAATATCAATAATGCCACCTTTCGGGATCGTCATTGGCTGGCCTGCGCGCCCAGCGCGCCACTTGTCGCCTCTGCACTGGGAGCCAGAGAAGGGCGTGCCGTCGCGTCTGGTTGACGGTCAGACTCCTGCCAACCAGAACCTGGACATCCAGCCCAATACATTCCAAACCTGGGGCGTACCAAAACTCCGACACACTGCCGACTGGGACGGGGGGGGGGGGGGGGGGGGGGGGGTCACTTCTCGAAAACACACGTCCATGACTGGCCCCTGCACATGGATGCGGCAGCGCATCACGTTTCAAACTACCAAAGAGGGGCGCTGACGTTCGACCACTCGCCCATCTCTCACCACTCCAACATTCGCCCCTCCCGATCTCCATCCCCGAACCCCTTCCCACAACAGCTTCTGCGAATGATCGAACTTCAAAACAAACAAAAAACAATCAAAAAAACCAACAAAAAAAGACAAAATCATATACGCCCGCACAGATTGCCCAGGCCTCTCGGAAAGTATGCTTGCCAGCGCACCCGCACTGTCACGCCTTGCGACTGCCCAAGCAGACCACCCAGTAACGTGCGCGGCGCCTGCACGGGGGGGGCGGCCGCCATGCCACATGCGTTCATCACAAATATCGAAGGATAATTGCCCCTGCATGGCCAACAAACGAAACCGTGTTTTTCACCAGACAGAAGGGGAATGCTCGCACCTGCCAGAAATGGCTGTCAACGTCCACAAGTACACCGAGTCGCGCGTGTGGCATGGCGCACCGTCCCCCCATAGCCCGCACATGATCAGATTGTCAATGTTGCTGCGGTCGAGCCCGGTTCTGTCGGCCCACTCGATCGCCGCCTGCCGCACAGACTCCTGCACATCAGAAGTTATGACCGACCGCGCCGCCCAGAGGGCACGAAAAAAAACAGTGGTCGGGTCGGTATTAAACCCAAGCTCCTGGTTCCCATCGCACTGCGCCCACTCTGGCTCGCCGCCGTCCGCGATAACCGTCTCTAGAATTTCTGGCAACAACATAAAATTGACAAGGTCCAGTTCTTGCCGTCCGGCTTTTTTATTCCAGAGGGGAACCATTGCCTGGTACGGGGGCGGCATGCGCGTCTTCTGAAGACGAGTTGTTTCAATCGCTGGGCCATTGTGCGAGTGGTAGGGCTTCCGAGCGACCGCTGAGCCTGTCGCATGACAGACCAGCATGTCATATGACAGACTGGTATGTCATGTGGCAGGCCGTCGTGTGTAGTTTCAAATGGGACGCATCACCCAGCAGCGCTACCACCTCACAATGCAAAGAGAAGACGCAAATGCTGTCCTTCTCCAGCTTACGAGAAAGATCACGATATGCGTTCGATCTCGTTGTAGGCCGCCTCCCAATACGCTTCCAAGAATGCAACGTCGGGCATGCGCTGAGATCATCGATACAAGCTCGTGCACCCTCGCCGACCTCGACCGAGCTAACGCGGCCTGTGCCCCAGAGACGGTGAATCCATTTTGAAATCGAGCCACTGCTGCCACCCTTGTCGAAAAGACGCTGTCGCACCCCGCGACTGGGCATTGGGGGCAGCCGTGCAAAATGCACTCGGCGGCCCTAAGCCGAAAGGTGCCACAAGCGTTGCGAGTACACGCGCACGCGTGCTCTGCAACGCGCTAAGAAAGCTCGATCGCACACGATCCGTGATAGACTGAATTGGCCACGCGATCAAGCAGCCGCCCTGAACCCATAAACGCAAGCAATGCAACAGGCTCGGGCGCACGAGAACCGCAGTTCTCAACATATAAACTCAGAGGTCTGCGCGGATGTCCTGGATCGGCGTTGGACCCCCTGGGCGGCGTTTCCAGCACCGCCCTGGGCGCGCCCCGCGCGCCAGGGAGAGGGGCACATCGCTGATTCAGGAAATTCGCGCTGACCTCAGCGCCGTTATGTTTATGTAGTCGTTTGGAGGGAGATGATAGGGGGTGCGGAGAGGATGGAGAGGGATACATATATATATATATATATATGAAATGAAGAGGAGATGGAGCGGGCGAGGGGGGTCGTGGGGAGAGGAGGTGGGACGAGCTGAGGAGGTAGGATGAGATAAGGATGAGAAGAGATGAGGTAGGGCGAGAGACAGAGTGCAAGCGGCTCTCTGACAGACTGGACTGTCATATGACAGACAGGGCTGTCACATGACAGACGGGGGCTGTCATATGACAGACGGGGGATGTCATATGACAGACGGGGGCTGTCATATGACAGACGGGGGCTGTCATATGACAGACGGGGGCTGTCATATGACAGACTGCTCGCCTGGGAATCTCCAGAAAACCGGACGTGTCTGGGTTACTCCATCGCTCATCACACACCCCTCTATGTCACACATTTCGCCCACTCGCTGATGAGCCAGCCTGTCCCCGAGGCTGGGCGGCGCATGCCGCCAAAAGTGGCATCACGGAGGCTGCGACGCAGCCCCGGCCAGTCCACGGCCCCGCCGCGAACGACTGGTCCTAGGCGGTGGTGGTCGCCCTTTCGTCGGCCTGGTCGGTGACCTTCTTGAAATCGCCCCGGCACGTGCGCTTGCAGAAGTTCTTGAAGAGCAAGATGAGATCGCGCGATTCAGCGGTCGCCAGCTCCATCCACTTGGCCATATCAGCTTTGCTCGGCGACCCCTTGCGGGGTCTCAGCGCTGATCGACATCCACGTGGCCACGCATTCGCTCGTTTCACCGAAGACGTGCGACGGCGAAACGCGATGCATGGCACGGGGATGTCGCCGCGCATTGACCCCGCAACCTTCGGCTTCGCGCTGAGCACATCCCTGGTGAACGCCGTCACGCCGTCGAGCACCTAAGGAGAAGGAGGAGGAGGAGGGGGGGGGGATAGAAAGATGAGAAGGAGGGGAGGGGGGAAGATACGAGGAGGTGGAGGATGAGGACGAGAAGCTGGAGTAAGACGAGGTGGATGATGAGGACGAGGAGATGGAGTATGACGAGGAGGAGGATGAGGAGCTCGGGGGCAGGATGAGGGGGAACTATGAGGATGCGAAGGGGGAGCGGGCAGGAATAGCGGGGTAGCAGGGGCGTAGTAGTGGGCACCGTCGCCGACTCGCTCTTCAAGTGCGCCGCCGTCTCCTGGGGGAAATTCCTCTTGGCCAAGGTGGCGCAGACGTTGGGGACCTCGATCTCCACGGCGCCCCTGAATGCCCTCGTCTTCGTCTGGCAGTCCCTGGAGAGCTTCTCCATGTCATGCTGCACCTTCTTGCGCTCCAGCTCCCCCCTGTACTCGGCCTCCTTCGCCGCCCTCTCCTGCGGGTCCAAGTTCACGATCGACTTCTTGAACCTCTCCTCGTCCTCCAAGGCTTTCTGGTCATCCTTCTCCTTCTTCGCCTTAGCCTTCTCCTCCTTGAGCTTCGCTCGTTTCTCCTTCCTCTGCTCAGCCGTGAGCTTCTCGCCCTCAATCGCGAGGTGGTCCACGAGCACGCCAGGCACGCCAGGCGCACGAGGCACGAGTCCGCCGCTGCCAGCCGCCCCCGACGATGATTGACTCTGCGCCATAGCCGAGCCCCAGCCGCCCATGCCCTTGAGCATCTCCTATGAGTACCAGCTTTTTTCACACCTCCTCATCCTCCTCCTCCTCCTCCTCCTCATCCTCCTCCCCCCCCTCCCCCCCCTCCTCCTCCTCCTCCTCCTCGGCCTCCCCCTGCGAGGAAGGGGGAGATGAGGTGTGGCGAAGATAGTTCTACAGTTCCGCCATCGGTCCGCCGCAACGCGCTTGGCGCCGGCCACGTCCACCGGCGCCTCCTGGTCCACGGAAGCGGCGTGGCTAGTGCTGTCGATCGTCTCCCCCTTCGCGTTCGCCACGTAGTGGAACTCCAACACCCCCTTGTCGCGCAATATATTCGACCGCTTGCGCGGCCGCGACGGTAGCTCCTGCGCGATGAGCGCCGCGTGCTCCTGCGGGGGGCGGGGCGGGATGGAGATCCGCGATCCCCGTCCTCTCGCCATGGGATTGGGGAATGAGGGGTGGGACTTGCGGATCCCCCCTCTCCGTGGTCTTGCGTTTTCGCGTCGGCATCTGACCACGCGAAATGCGAGACCACTGCACAAGACCACCCCCCGTGGTCTCCGCGTCGTTCAGGTACATGGGGCCAGCGAGCTCGCTCTGGGTGACCCACACGTCGGCAATGCCTCCTGCCGCGCCCTCTTCGTCTCCGTGACGCCCCTGCTGGATGAGGCGGAGACGGTGCGACGGGGCGAGGGCGGAGGGATGACGAACGAGTAAACGGGCCAGGCCAGACGGGGCCCACCATCACCTCGAGGCGACGGCGGGGGATCAGGGAGGCAGGTTGCGAGGGAGGGGGAACGACCACATTCGGCACACGGGGCCCCTCCCTTTCGCGCCGCCCGCGCTCGGTTCGATGATGAAGCGCATCAGCCATGCGACCTGCGACTCAGGAAGAGAAGGGTGAGAATGATGCGATCACCACCCACCAAACCACCCCAACCCAACCCGAACGCCCAAATTTACACTCGATTTCCAGTGGGGGTGTCGGGGAACATTGAAAAAAACATGGAATCCGCACCCCCAACCCGAAATTCTGGTCACATTCGGGTCTTCGGGTTGGGTTGGGGTGGCATGTTAGGTAGTCATGCGAAAGACAAGCAGGATGCGAAGGTAGAGTTGGTGTTGGGTGTGCATGACGGGCTTGTCGGGCAATAACCTTCTCAGAATTGTTCAGCGCCGTAGCCTTGTACTGATGGTAAAGCTGCGGCGCGTGGTTCTGGAGGACCGTTGACATGGCGCTGAACGGGCCCTTCTTCTCCTGGGAGGAGCGGGGATGATGGCGAAGATGAGGATGATAAGGGTTAACAGGATGATGACGAGGAGCGAGGGTGGGGGAGCGAGGGACGCGTCTCCTTGGACGTGTAACCTGACATGATCTCCCCCAACTTCTGCATGTCCCCGCCGCACTGGGTGCCGAGCTTCTTGATTGCATCGGGGGCCTTCGCCATGATCTGCACGGGCTCAGACTGGCCATCGGCCTCGACCTCGGGCCTGGCGGCCTTCTTGGCGCCCGTCACCCTGGCCTTGCACTGGCCGCCTTGCCCATCGCTGAGACCAGGGCGCGCGGGAAACTGGGGTCGGCCACGGTGAATGTCGTGAAAACCCTGGAGCCCTCGATAAAGGATTGCGACGGTCTAGGGTGATACCCCCGTGAACTTAGGACTCGCTTTCGAGGATATATATATATATATATATATATATATATATATGGTCACGAGTGCTTGTTTTTGTTATAAGTGGTCTGGTCACGCTCGAGTTTAGTCAGTACTATCCCGCCTCAGGGCCCCCCTCGGCCCCGCGTGGCCTAAGATGGCGACGGCCCCAAGTGGCCTCACTCACTGGAACCTAGATATCATTTCAGTACTGACGACGAATACAGGCGATGGGGCCAAGTGGGTTGTGTTTTCTCCCCTGCCCTCATCGGCTCCAGTCGGGGGATGGGACTGAGGGAGATGCGGATAATGAGGGGGGAGAGATACGAGGGGAGGGCGAGACGAGGGGAGGGCGAGACGAGGGGAGGGGGGACGAGGGGAGGAGGTAGACCAGAGAAGAGATGACGGGAAATGGTGAGGAGAGGTCAGTCATTGTTCCCCCTGGCAGCTTGAATTCAACGGCACGGTCGATGGTCATCCGCGACCGCGACCGCCCGCTCACACATCGCTGCACTCATCGACCAACCTTTGATTGCGTCCCGACGCCGGGGCAAGGATGCAAGGATGCCAAAAAACGCAAGGTCGCAGAACAATGAAAAACAAATAATCAAAATATATCAAACGGACGTGGCCACATGAGGTCCGTCATGTGTCCGGCATTTGTCTGTCATTCTGCGTTTCTACTTGTTGTTTTACATGTAAAAACAATCATATGGTAAGTCGAAGAGTGACAGACACTGACAGACAAATGACAGACTCCACTTTAGCTGTAAAAATACAGGGTATGAGCAACATGCACGAGTCCGGCATTTGTCGGTCATTTCATGGTGGTCACGAAACACTGTAAAAACACAGCTAAAATGAGGTCCGTCATCAGTCCGGCATTTGTCCGGCATTTGTCTGTCATCGGCCTCCCGGCCAGAATTCTGAGCACGCCCGATGGCTCGGCCGAGCCCCCTAGTCGACGTCGGGCACATTCTGGCTCGAGTCGCCCATCTGGCCCCTGAAAAAATTTAACGGGTTGATGCGCCTAGCGGCGCGGGGAGGGATCATGGGCGTCGCGAGGATAAGGCGGATGAGAGGAGGACGAGGGGGAGAAGGATGACGGGATGAGACGGGAGAGGAAGATGATGAGGAGCAATCAGAATGCGGAGGAACAGAAGGATCCAGAACAAGAGGAGCAAGACGAGAGCGGGGGAAGGGATGTTTGAGGATGAGGGGGAGAAGCGACGCGGCGGGCGCCTCGCGCGGCTGCTTGCCGCCGCATCCTGCGCCGCGAACAGCTGGGTCAGGGTGGGCGGCGACCTAGGGGGAGGAGGAGGAGGGGGGTGAGGGGGAGGAGGAGGAGGATGAGGAGGAGGAGAAGGAGGGAGAGGAGGAGGAGGAGGAGGAGGAGGAGGATGAGGAGGAGGGGAAGGATAAGGAGAATGATGAGGAGGAGGAGGAGGAGGTCGGCCTGCTGCGATCGCGAGGCGGCGGCCCGCGCGAGTTGCCGAACATGAGCGCGTTGTGCAACCTCGACGGGCTCTCGACCTGCACTCCGCTGGCGTCGCACATGCACGCCAGGCACATGTCCATCGGGTTGACGATCAACTTGTCGCAGCCAGGACACCTCCACGTTGCTGATGGGCCATCACCGCTGAGATCACCAGCTGGATCTGGGGCCGCACTGCTGGGATCCCCAGCTGGGTGCGGGGCCAATGCGCACGCATGATCACCAGCTGGATCTGGGGCCGACGTGTGCACATGTTCACCACCGTCGTCTCTGACCACGCCACTGGCCGACGTACCACCAGTCAGCGACCGTCCGAGCTCCTCGATCCAGTCGTCACCAGGAGTGGCGGGCTGCAGCTTCCTCTTGGCGCGCGGCACCGCCATGGGGCTGCTGTAGATGCTCAGGGGCTTGTCGTCCTCGGACTCCACGATCGCGTCGCCGGCGGTCTCCAAGGGCTTTGTCGTCGTCGCCGGCCACCGTCGGACAGTGCTCGTCGGAGCTGATCACTTTCAACTCCCTGGGAAGGCCTGGGCGCATCCACTTCTTCAACGTGATCTGGGGGCTCGCGTCGCTGTTTTGCACCGCGGACGCGGGCCTCTTCTTGGCGACCTTCTGCCGCGGTTTAGCCTGGGCTCGGACGCGCCCCAAAAAACACTGGCCATTATCGTGGGCGAGGAAGAGTGGGAGGACGAGGAGGCGGAGGAGGAGGAAGATGAGGAGGATGAGGACGGTGGAGGCGAGGAGGACGATGAACGATGAGTCGGAGGAAAGTAGTCACCTTTGGACGGTGACATGTTTGCGCCCCGAACAACCTTCCTGGCTGGCATGGTGCGCTGATCGTCCTGGGTGAGCGTGTCTGGAATGCCGCCTGGACAAGCGATGACGGCGGTGACCTTCGCCATGCGGATCTCACTGAAGCTGATGGCCCGCCTGGGGCGTGAGCAATGCTGAGGCGACATCGCGATGTCACTCCACGGCCCCGCCTGTCATACGACAATCGGGGCCGTCATATGACAGACGGGGCAGTCATATGACAGACGGGGCCGTCATATGACAGACGGGGCTGTCATGTGGCAGACTGGGCTGTCATATGACAGCTGTGTGGTCGACCGATACCACTTGTTGGAGGGCGAATGATTGTTGCCCTGCTCTACCCCAGTGGTATCTTTGGTAGGGAAACGGGCAGCTGGACCATGTCGCGCGTGCGGATGAACATATCTATAATGTGCGCACAGAATCGTACTGGGTATGCAGCTGACCCGCACAAAGCAGCGCGGTCGCCATTCGACCACCGAGGGCCTTCCTGCCAAGAGCAGGAGGCACGAGACAAGCTGGACCACACATGGGTGAGCGGGGCTACACGCGCACGAGTCGAGAGCCGAACGATTCATGTCGCTTCCCTGCCAACCCAAGCCGTCAACCCTGGCCCCACTCACCCATGAAGGTCAGGTTGTCGTCGACCCCCGTGCCCGCCTGCCTCCATGAGAGGCCTGTGCTTCACGCCGCACGTGCGCACCAACCCGACCGCCATGATCCACCAGGCCGATCCCCAGAACCTCATCGTCTTCAGGGGCACCGAAGCTGCGTCCTGCCACGACCCTCTGAACCTGTCGTGAGCACACGCCACGCCACATGCATCCGACTTCGCGAGCCCTCACAGCTGGGTAGCGGGCATACGAGGATGTCATTCATTGGGATGGGGGGGGGGGGAGGGGGGTGAGGGGGGGGGGGGGGGTGGGGGGGGGGGGGGGGGGGTGGGGGGGGGGGGGGGGGGGGGGGGGCGAGGACGACGACATGGGCGACGATCGAGTGGGCGAGGGCGATGTGTGCTGAC